TAACGTGAACGAAGAGGTTATGTGTGTTTATAACTACTTTACATTATTATACAAGATTGAGTTATGTTTCATTTCAAACTCTATTTATGTCTATCCAATACTCTAAAACACATCCATTTAATTTAGAACAAACGCTAACAAGCAATACATAGGATGATGATGATGATGATAATAATATAACCACTGTGTTTTTCAGAGGAGAAGCATACAGATAAAAAAGTTTTCAATTAGACATAGAATGAATAAGAGTTTTACCTTTAAGATTTTCAATAGAGGACACACACGAGAAAAATTTTTGATTGGAAAACTGATACAAGTTAATGCATGATGAAAGTGTATTAGAACATGGAAGTTAACACTCTCATTTGTAATATTCTTTAGCTTATCTCCTTGATCCTTCAATGAAGATAAGTAGTTAGCAGAATCAACATTAAGACACTCTAGATTGGAGATAATAGTCACACTAGACTAGCAACATAATATGCAGTGGAAAAGAGTAGAAGGATGATGATCACAATGAGAATGTGAATGTGAATGGAAAAAGTTTAATGTTTAGAGTATATGAAATTCATTGTTATATTATTGAGATGCGTTGTTCACAGCTTTTATATTATCACCATATTTTTTATGTATAATTGTCATAGTTCAGTAATTTGGAATCATAGCTCACTGAACTTATGTGATCTCATGTACATAAAAATAACATTTCCAAAATATTGTAATAATTAGGATTTGTTATCACATAAACCAAACTACTTATCTTATCTTGTCTTAACACATACTAAATGTAAGGACCACAACAAAAACATACGACCAAAAAAACAAATCAAATTGAAAAAAACGCTCAAAAAGAAAATACATTATAAAATTTAGCTTTTAATGAAAATCAACACTAAAAACAAATTTAATTGAAATCTGACTATAAAAATACAAGTTTACTTAAGCCTTATTTAGTATTTTTATTTTCAGTAACTTAATATTTTTATGGAAAATATATTTATTTCTAAAAGTTGTGACTCACACATTAAACAAATTAATTATCATTAAACAAATATTTATGAGATTCATGAAGGTTAATGTGATTTATTAAAAATATTACTCCTATGAACTTTTCAAGTGGATGTTGAGTGGTTTTAATTTTTTTAATTTGAATATTTTTATTTTAAAATGACATTTTATTTTTAATTTAAAAGTATTTTATAGTTAACTCTTTTTTTATTTATTGAGTTTTTGTTTAGTATATTTTTAATTTTTTAGTTTTTCTCAAATTTATCTGTGTGTGTGCTCGTGCGTGCGTGTGTGCGCTTGCATAATATTTAAATTATTTTATTTCTAAAAATTATAAAAAAAATCAATATGTTTAATAATCAAATTATCTTTAATATTGTGAATTTTAACATACACTATAACTGAGTTTTTCATGAATTTCTTCAACTAATATTAACGTGAACGAAGAGGTTATGTGTGTTTATAACTACTTTACATTATTATACAAGATTGAGTTATGTTTCATTTCAAACTCTATTTATGTCTATCCAATACTCTAAAACACATCCATTTAATTTAGAACAAACGCTAACAAGCAATACATAGGATGATGATGATGATGATAATAATATAACCACTGTGTTTTTCAGAGGAGAAGCATACAGATAAAAAAGTTTTCAATTAGACATAGAATGAATAAGAGTTTTACCTTTAAGATTTTCAATAGAGGACACACACGAGAAAAATTTTTGATTGGAAAACTGATACAAGTTAACGCTTAATGAAAGTGTATTAGAACATGGAAGTTAACACTCTCATTTGTAATATTCTTTAGCTTATCTCCTTGCTACTTCAGTGAAGATAAGTAGTCAGCAGAATCAACATTAAGACACTCTAGATTGGAGATAATAGTAACACTAGACTAGCAACATAATATGCAGTGGAAAAGAGTAGAAGGATGATGATGACAATGTGAATGTGAATGTGAATGGAAAAAGTTTAATGTTTAAGGTATATGAAAGTCATTGTTATATTCTTGAGATGCATTGTTCACAACTTTTATATTATCATCCTATTTTTTATGTATAATTGTCATAGTTCAGTAATTTGTAATCATAGCTCAATGAACTTATGTGATCTCATGTACATAAAAATAACATTTCCAAAATATTGTAATAATTAGGATTTGTTATCACATAAATCAAACTACTTATCTTATCTTGTCTTAACACATACTAAATGTAAGGACCACAACAAAAACATACGACCAAAAAAACAAATCAAATTGAAAAAACGCACAAAAAGAAAATACATTACAAATTTTAGATTTTAATGAAAATCAACATTAAAAAACAAATTTAATTGAAATATGACTATAAAAATACAAGTTTACTTAAGTCTTATTTAGTATTTTTATTTTCAGTAACTTAATATTTTTATGGAAAATATCTTTATTTCTAAAAGTTGTGACTGACACATTAAACAAATTAATTATCATTAAACAAATACTTATGAGATTCATGAAGGTTAATGTGATTTATTAAAAATATTACCCCTATGAACTTTTCAAGTGGATGTTGAGTGGTTGTAATTTTTTTATTTGATTATTTTTATTTCAAAATGACATTTTATTTTTAATTTAAAAGTATTTTATAGTTAACTCTTTTATTTATTTCTTTAGTTTTTCTTTATTTAATTTTTAATTTTTAATTTTTTCTGTGTGTGTGCGCGCTTGCATAGTATTTAAATTATTTTATTTCTAAAAATTATAAAAAAAATGTTTAATAATCAAATTATCTTTAATATTGTGAATATTAACATACACTATAACTTAGTTTTTCATGAATTTCTTCAACTAACATTAAGGTGAACGAACAGGTTATATGTGTTTATAACTACTTTACATTATTATATAAGTTTGAGTTATGTTTCATTACAAACTCTAACAAGCAATACATAGGATGATGATGATGATAATAATATAACCACTGTGTTTTTCAGAGGAGAAGCATACAAATAAAAAAGTTTTCAATTAGACATAGAATGAATAAGAGTTTTACCTTTAAGATTTTCAATAGATGACACACACGAGAAAAATTTTTGATTGGAAAACTCATACAAGTTAATGCATGATGAAAGTGTATTAGAACATGGAAGTTAACACTCTCATTTGTAATATTCTTTAGCTTATCTCCTTGATCCTTCAGTGAAGATAAGTAGTTAGCAGAATCAACATTAAGACACTCTAGATTGGAGATAATAGTGACACTAGACTAGCAACATAATATGCAGTGGAAAAGAGTAGAAGGATGATGATCACAATGTGAATGTGAATGGAAAAAGTTTAATGTTTAGAGTATATGAAAGTCATTGTTATATTCTTGAGATGCGTTGTTCACAGCTCATGTGCCAATTTTAAATCCACTGATATAATCTCATCTCTTAGGGTAGAAATACATAACTCTAGATTAGCAAACACTTCCTTATTTCAATTTTTAAAAATTTATTTTAGAGACTTAAGAGAAGATGGAATGATACACATATCTAATCTTCGAGAAACCAGCCTAACACAAGGCTCACAAAAACTAGAAGTCTTCACAAGTGAGGAAAAAATATTCTCAACAAAATAATATGAATTTTAATCAAAATGGCTGATAAAAGAACTCATGTGAGATTGAAATAAAAATAATGGAAATTTTTTAATGTATTCCATGCTTTTTTAATATATCACATGAAATTTCGAAAATATTTTCAATTTAAAGAAATATATTTTTGGAAGCACTTCATACACATACAATTCATTAATTTTTTAATTATATCTCACTTTCACGACTTAATTTATTTCAAAAATAAATTTTCAAAATGTCTCTGAATCTGAAACCTACTTTTAATCATAGTCTTCTAGTCAAACTATTCTCGTACACTCACAATACACATATAATCTTTAATTACTTTCTTTGCTTTCTAAATAATAGTCTTCTAGGCAAACTTTGCCACTAAACTCTAGAAACTTATCACTTTGAAATTTGTATTTTCCTATTCTACTTTGATTTAACTATTAGATGGAGTAAAAATGCAGTTGACAATTTTAATAATGTTTGTACCCAATCAAATTGAAGGCCCAATTTAGTTGAAGGCAACCCACAAGAAATTGATGACACAAGAAATTTGTCGTTTACACGCGTCAAAGAAGCGGGGACCCACCCTAATCACATGTTGATTTCTGCTTAGAGTAAAGATAATAATAAATAGAGTTTAAGCATGATATTATAGTATCCGTCTTTATAATCACATGTTGAAAAATTTCTACGATGGTAACATTTGTACCCGTCTTATATAGTTATTTAAATATTTATATATGTATTCTTTTATCTTTATTTTTAATAAAAATATCACATCAATTATAATTTATTATATTATTTTTAATTTTTAATAATATTTAAAAAAATAAAGTGATATTATTGAATTAAGAAATAAACAAATATGTATATTAAAATATGTAGAAATTTAATAATAATATATTTAATAAAATTAATAAATTAACATAATTATATCCGTAAAATATGTATAAAATTAAAAAATTAATAAATTAATATATATATAATAAAAAAAAAGATGAATATTAAATAATCTATATCCGTATTCATGTCCACTTATTTTCATAAATAATTATTTATGTTCATATTCAAATTCATCTTGCCTATTTTCATCTTATTCATTGTAAGTAATTTTTGTAAATGTCCATTAAAAATTGTTAAGAGAAATTATAGAGATATTTTTGATATAGATTAATTATAGGAGATTTCAGTTTTATTATAGAATTATTAAAGTGTTATTATAGGAGATTTACATACTTAAATAAGTTAATGTTGAATTGTATATAACTCAATAATTGTATCCTTGTAAAGACACGAAATATGGAATACAATGTCATAAATCTCCTTTTTTTCTTCTCTGTTTTCTGCAACATCTTCAGTTCTCCATTATCCTGTTCATTTGTTCATCTCCGCATTATGGAGAAAACTGATATTTTTAAACCCATTATAACCACCTTGACCGAACCAAACTATAATCTCTGGGTCCAAGGAATGAAGAGTTTTCTGATCGGACGCAAGCTTTGGCGCATAATCACCGGAGATGTCGTCAAGCCAACTCAAGACAAAGATGAATCTACTGCAAAATTTGCGAACCGCCTTGAAGATTGGGATAGTAAAAATCACCAGATCATCACGTGGCTGCGCAACACGTCTCTACCGTCTATTCACATTCAGTTTCATAACTACGATTCTGTAAAAGAAATTTGGGATTTCTTGAAAAATCGCTATCAAACCACTGACCTTGCACATTATTATCAGTTATGGACCACACTTCACAATACCAAGCAAGAACCTGGTCAATCAGTGAATGATTTTCTCGCTCAAGTCCAACCAATTTGGCATCAAATATCGCTTTCCAAAATCAGTGAAGACCACCTTCATCTCACTCAAGTCCTTATGGCTCTTCGGCCCGAATATGAAGCCGTACGAGCCTCACTGCTGCATCGAAATCCGCTTCCATCATTGGACACTGCTATTCAAGAAATCATTTTTTGAAGAAACGCGTCTGAATCTAGACAAAACTCATCAAATGGATGCTGCTCTTACAACTACTCGATTCTCACATCAAAAATCGAATCATCATCCATGTAAGAATTGCAATCGCACTGGTCATATATTTTCTAACTGTCCTACTATAGAGTGTAGGTACTACCATGGTATCAGTCACATTCTTGAACATTGTCCCACGCGACCTCCAAAACAAAATCGTGGCTTCACCAAATCCAGTAATGTTCCAACGTCTGGATCTTCCTCCATCTCTGCTGCTGTCACTGAAGGTTCGACGACCATCACTATGAGTGATATTGAAGCTTTAATCAAACAGGTTATGTCTTCCAACAACTCTACTACCATGTCTGCTACTCACGGTAATTCTCGTTATTTTTTTGATTCTGCATGTAGTAATCATATGACCACTGATATTAAATCATTACCTGCTACGGCATTTGTTTCATCTCTGCCACGAATCCACACAGCCAGTGGCAATACAATGAACATCACTCATACCGGTCATGTATCTACCTTAAATCTCACCCTTCTTGACACATATTACATTCCTAACTTGAAACTTAATCTTATTTCCATTGGTCAATTGTGTGAACAAGGACTGAATGCTTATTTTTCTCCCTCTGATGTTCAGGTACAGGATCCGCAAACGAAGCAGATCATTGGGACGAGTCACAGGGTGGGTCGGCTATTTTAGCTACAATCTCTTCACCTTCCTAAAGATCATATTTCTGCTGCTACTATAAATTCTCCAATTCATCAATGGCATCTTCGTCTTGGTCACGCCTCAGCAAGCAAAATTCAACCTCTAATATCTCGTGGGTTATTAGGATCCACAAAGGTTGAGCCTTTTGATTGTTTACATTGTAAACTTGCCAAACAGCCTGCATTATCATTCAATCGTAGTTTTTCTAGTTCAGATAGTCCTTTTGATTTGATTCATTCGGATATTTGGGGGCCTTCTCCTGTTTCTTCAATAAATGGTCATCGTTATTTTGTATTGTTTATTGACGATTTTTCTCGTTTTACATGGATATATTTTTTGAAAAATTACTCTGAATTACCTCAAATTTATATTTCCTTTGCTCGTATGGTTAAAACACAATTTTCTTGTGCTATTAAGATTCTTCGCACAGACAATGCGATAGAATACCGTGAATCTTCCTTGCTTCAGTTTCTCAGTCAGCAAGGCACCGTGGTTCAACGTTCATGCCCTCACACCTCCCAACAAAATGGTCGGGCTGAACGAAAACACCGTCACATCCTTGACTCAGTTCGTGCTCTTCTCCTCTCAGACTTGTGTTCAGAGAAGTTTTGGGGGGAAGCAACTCTTAATGTTGTCTATACAATTAATCTACTTCCCACCATAAATCTTCAAAACTTATCTCCTTTTGAAAAACTATTTGGTAAGTCTCCTGAATATTCCATTCTTAAACCTTTTGGATGTGCTTGTTTTGTTCTCTTGCAGCCTCATGAGTACACAAAATTACAACCACGTGTCGCTTGTATTGCTTTCTTGGCTATGGCACAGAACACAAAGGATATCACTATTTGGATCCAATCTCTAACAGATTACGCATCTCACGTCATGTTACCTTTTGGGAAAACACCATGTTCTCCTCTCTTTCTACATTTCATCATTCTCTTGACACCGACTCATTTTATTTCACTGATCCCACAGTTGAGTTGTTTCTAATTTCTAATGCAGATAACTCTAATAACCTCAATACTCCTCTTCCCCCACCTTCTTCAAATGAACTTGTTTCAGATGTTGAGCTCAATACTCGTCCGCCCTCACCTGCTCCTACTGAACCTGTTCCGGATGTTGATATTGTACCTGCATCTCGCCATTCCACCAGAGTAAGTAATCCACCTACTCATCTTAATGATTACCATTGCTACTCTATTATTAAAACTCTTCATGAGCCTTGTTCTTATCGAGAGGCAAGTACTAACCCCATTTGGCAGCAAGCTATGGCTGAAGAAATTCAAGCTTTAGAAAAGACAAATACTTGGGAATTAGTTGATCTTCCTGCAGAAAAGATTCCTATTGGATGCAAATGGATCTACAAAATTAAAACTCGCTCTGATGGAACTGTAGAACGTTATAAAGCTCGCCTAGTAGCCAAAGGGTACATTCAAGAGTATGGTATAGACTATGAAGAGACATTTGCTCCGGTAGCTCGAATAACATTTGTTCATAGCCTCTTGGCCATTGTTGCAGTTCGTAAATGGAAGCTTTTTCAGATGGATGTCAAAAATGCCTTCCTTCATGGTGAATTGACAGAGGAAGTATATATGCACCCTCCTCTAGGATATCATTCTCCTCATAAGGTCTGTAAACTTCAGAAAGCCTTATATGGGTTGAAACAAGCTCCTAGAGCCTGGTTTGCCAAGTTCAGTTCTACTCTAACACAATTTGGTTTTCTCTCTAGTCCACATGTTTCTGCTCTATTCACTCGACGAAGTGATAGTGGTATTGTAATTCTTCTTATTTATGTAGATGATATGATCATAATCGGAGATGACAAGACTGGCATCTCAGCTTTACAACAATATCTCAGTCAACATTTCAAAATGAAAGACCTTGGTTCCCTTAGTTATTTTTTGGGGCTTGAAGTTTCCCAAGACTCAGAAGGCTATTATCTTTTCCAGGCCAAGTATGCTTCTGACCTGGTTTCTCGAGCAGGCATCACAGACTGCAAGACTGAATTGACACCATTGGAAGTCAACTCCAAACTCACACCACTTGACGGCACACCTCTTGAAGACGCCACCTTGTATCGACAACTTGTTGGTAGTCTTGTTTACCTAACTGTCACTCGCCCTGATATTGCATATGCTATTCATAAATTCAGTAAATTTATGGCTGCCCCTCGATCATCTCATTTGTCTGCAGTTCTACGTATCATTCGCTATGTTAAAGGTACAATTTTTCATGGTTTACGCTTCTCTGCTAATTCATCCTTGGTCCTATCTGGATACTCTGATGCAGATTGGGCAGGTGACCCTACTGATCGTCGCTCAACAACAATGTATTATTTCTTCTTAGGAAATTCTCTTCTTTCCTGGCGTAGCAAAAAGCAAACAGTTGTTGCCCGATCAAGCACATAATCTGAATATCGCGCTCTTGCTGATGCTACAACTGAGTTACTTTGGTTACGATGGTTGTTAAATGATATGGGCATTACACAATCTTCTGCTACTATGCTTCATTGTGATAATAGAAGTGCTATCCAGATTTCCCATAATGATGTTTTTCATGAGCGCACGAAACACATTGAAATTGATTGTCACCTTGTACGCCATCATGTTACTAATGGCACCATACGGTTGATTTCTATTCCTTTTGAGGACCAACCGGCTGATACCTTCACCAAACCACATAATCTGATGCGCTTCAAATATTTATTAAGCAAACTCCAGTTGGCATCCACCATACCAACTAGAGTTTGAGGGAGGGTGTTAAGAGAAATTATAGGGATATTTTTGATATAGATTAATTATAGGAGATTTCAATTTTAATATAGAATTATTACAGTGTTATTATAGGAGATTTACATACCTGAATAAGCTAATGCTGAATTGTATATATCCCAATAATTATATCTTTGTAAAAACACGAAATATGGAATACAAAATTTTTCAATTCCATTTTCTGCTATTCTGCTAATAAAAATAATAAAATTGTCATTTCGACCTTAGAGACACGTGGCAAATAGTATGCATATACCGATAGTACAAAAATATAAATTCTAAAATTAAAAATATAGACCAAAATCTAAAAATTGATAAAATTGGCAAAACAAAACTACCATTAACAAATATAAAATTTCTACTTTCCTAAAACTACCATTAAAACAATAATAATAGACAAATATAAAATTACAATTTCCTAAATTATTATTTAATCGTACCTCATAATCTATCTAGAACTTTGTATGCTGGCAATTATAAAGGCAAAAGGTTTACAATTAGGACGGTGGATTATTAGGAGAAATGCATGAATCAATCGATCTCCAAAAGCTTAATTCTTATCCAACTAATCAAAATGCCATAAATAAATAAATTGAGAAATTTCTTAGTCTTGAACAAGCCCACTTGCAATGAGTACCCGCTTTCAACGTAATTTGGTATTTTACATTTCTTTTTAATTTATTTATTCAAGTACAAACTAATTTTAAAAAACTAGATAATAATTTTATACACTATAAATATAGTGTTTAACAATAACACCAAAAAAAAAACTTCTAAAACTACTACACTGCAAAGTCAAACTTCTCTTCTTCCTCATTTCCTTTCCCAAAATTTGTTCTCTAAGATAATAAATTTACACAAAAATGGTTTCAACATCTCAAAAGGAGAAACCAAACCTTCCACCTAAAAGAGGCAACATCAAAGCTCAAATATTTAGCAACTTAATCAAATTTGTGGCCTCTTCAATCTCAAAAGATGCAAAATCCAAAGAAAATTATGATAACAAAGATGGTGGCTCTACAACATCAACACCACCATCAAGTGCCTACAATTCCGATGTCTCCTCTTAAGTCACTAATCTTAAATTATGGTGTAAATCTTCAATTTTCTCTCTCAATTATTACTATCTCTCCTACTTCATTTTTAAAAAACATAAAAATAATAAATAATTTTTAAAACAAACAAAAAATTCTATTATTATCAATTTGTTGTATTTTGACATAACAATTTTTTAAGTTATTTAAGAGATTAGCAGAAAAAAATAGATATTTTCAAAAGTCTTTTATTATTTTCATGTTTCTTCTTTTTTATATTATTTTTATATACTTTAAAGATTCAATTGGAGAGAGAGTAATAATTAAATGATTAAATTGGAGTTAATTTACTCAAATTATAAATAAGCATATATCTGTGTCTGTTTCTTTTTTATTGCAGACAGAAGAAGCTACTGCTTTTAGTAGCATTTGTGTTTTATACTATAGTAACGGTTTGTAATGTTGTTAGTGTGCAAAATA